AAAGAATGAAGTTGACAAAGTTATCAATGTAACTTTAAACAAGGAGATCAATACAAGTCTTATGTAAGAACAAAAATAATCAGCCAATATGGAATAAATCTAGATAAGTCTGTCACAGATATAATATATCACAGAACAAAAATAATACTAATAAACAACCTATAAATTATCTTAATAGTCACAAGACGAATAAAAAGATCTTTGTAAACCCCCTTAACTCTGACAAAGATAACGAAGCAAACAAGAAAAAACTCGTAAGCTTGAACATTTTGACCTCATGGATGGGGGAACAGGTTAATCTGGGGGCATGATACCAAAACTAAATTGGCACTCAGGCTGCACATTACCCCAATTCCCCATAAAGCTTTCCATGAGATCAAAATAGTCCAGTTCTTTAACTACATTGCCCGTTGAGTTCTCCTTCGCTTCTTTATACAGGTCCATTAAGTTGAGCATTTTTGCCTTGCACTCATCGCCATTGAACATAAAATTTTTCTTATTCATGCACTCCGAAATCTCATCCCACAACGCATTGTTTCGGAATTGACTGCTGTCAAATTTTTGGTCCATTTCAATTCTAAGATTTATCAGACAAATAGTTGCTGCGTCATCAAAAAAAGCTCCTGAGAACAAATTGGTAAAAGAAGGAAAAATTGCAATTCGAGGATAAAAGCAGGAAATTGGCCAATGAACACGTACAATTCCTCATTTCACCTTTTGATGACAATTTGGGCATTTTCTTTGGCAGCGGACAGAGAACAGCCGACTGGTATGTTAGCCTACAGATTTTTTTCTTAGAAAAGAGGTTGGGCTCACCCTTTAAAATGGCCGTGTCAAAACTCCGGGTCCAGATTTTTCCTCTCACGGTGGTAAGTATCACTAAGTGTCTTCCATCTCTTCCTACAGTCTGTCTCAAAAACTTTGAGACCATAAGTTTTGAGATTTTCACAAGCACAGGACAGTATTGCTCGTTTCAGTCTGAACTTACTGCTACATTTTCCTCTGGAGCCAATAAAACTCTCCAAAAGAACAGCAGTTGGCTTTGGTTGGATCAGATAACTCTTCTTCTAAGACATTGCAATCCTGATCAGAATTACAACTGTCACATGTTGAAACGGGATTCTCGGACACATCCTCATCCTCACTCCCACTGGCCTGGTCAAAGGATCAGAAAATAAAGATAACGCTCAAGCCGAATGCGCCAAGGGGTAAATAACTCCTGAAGTGAGTGTACAAATTTTGGTTTGAATGAATTTGAATTTTTAAGAATTAGGGGCGTACATTTGGCAGGGGAGTTATTTCCACCTCGGGATGTGAACATTTAAGAGATCGGAGATGGGACCCTTTACTTCACCAGCCACTGATCTTTTCAGGTTCGTTGGAGCTTGTTTCTTGGGTAAGGCCTTCACCTGAGGAGTGGCTCTCTCCTGGACCACACTGAGCTGCAGAATATTGCCCCTAAATGGGGGCAAGGTTAGTCCAGCCAAACGAATCGCAGAGTCCACAGAATCAAGCTGGAAAAAATAATTCAAATAGTAAATCTAAAGTAGCAAACTTCCGCCAAATTTAACTTTTAACGTAACAAACCATTTCACAAATGAAAAGCATTCCTCATACCTTGATCACACAGAGCACACGAGGGCGGTCCAAATTTTGGATATTTAGTCGCAAGTCGCCTAGTCGCTTTTGGTCGGAAATCGGTCGCATGTCGTTAACACCATGTCCTCTTAGTTTATCAGAGTATCCTTGGCCTGGCTAAATAACGTTGAAATGAATGTGACACCATGACAGAGAAAAGTGACATTTTTAGTTGCTGACCAATGTGACGTCACATGAATTGAATAACAAGATGCTGAAACACTGAAACACCCTCCTAACAGATAGTTCCCAGTAGGGAGGAGCGTTAAGTGACGGCCGACGCCTCATAAGAACTACAAGAAAGGAGCCAGTGAGCAAGCACAAGCAGTAGAAGATACGAAGCGAACCCCTACGATTTCATAAAGATACATGCCAGCATTGCTCCTGCACGAGGCGTGGGCGTGACATTTCGCGGCACAATATGAAGAGCACAACACAACCAACGGCTAGGCGGCTCCCTCTATAGACCCTAACTTTAAGTGTTTCTGGCACAGATGGAAAAGCAGGTCGCAGGGAAGACACTACGCAGCACGCGCAAGCAAGGAAGCAAACAAACACAAACACACACGCACACACAGCCCACTGACAGCGAGGGGCGCCCATATACAGTACGTGCCAATATCTTGCACGGAAACAAAACAAAAAAACACCCTCAGTCTCCGTTCCAGGCACGTCAGAGGGTACGCGGGCGACACATATATGAAGGAGGGAGAGAGAGAGAGAGAGGAGGAGAGAGGAAGAGACGCATCCAGAATCCCATTTGCCACCCCGTTTGCCGAGGCCTTGAAGAGAGGCGCCACCTACTCTGCCGGCCTCAGCCTGACCTGGGACCTTTGCTATGTGGACGTTGTCCCCTGCTGTCGCATCCCCCCCCCCCCTTCTTTCTCTCTCTCTCCCTCTCTCTTTCTCTTTCCTCCTGTCGCTCGCATCCCTTGAGTATGTTGGTCACGTGTCGCGGCAACGGCTCCATTCAACTTGTAATCCGTGAAGAAATACACTGCCCCTGGTCACCCTGCCACCCGGCTGCCGCCCGCCCGCTGCTCCCGCTGGTGCCAGCTCCCCCGCAGCGGCCGCATCCATCTCTCGCCGGCCCGGAGAGAGGCCCGGCTCAGCTGATTGATTGCAGTTTGATTGATTGGGAGGCTGGCCACTCATCCACACCCCGCCGCTGTCTGCAATTCTCTTCGTGTTCTCCTCATCCGCCCCGCGGCCAGCCAGCCAGAGACGCATGACCTACATAGAAATGTTAACACCACCAAATGCATGTCGGTAGAGTAAGAAGTCATATTTGGAAAGTTATTTAGTCACTTATTTTCAAAGCTCTCCTCGAATTTCTGGAATTCAAAAAGTTGGCGTACAAAAGTGGCCACAAAGGCATAGTTTACCATGTGGCCTTGCACTCTCATTTCCCTATGGATGTGCTATCCGTATGTTATGGAGAATTTTGTGCTAACATATTATGGATCACAAATTATCCATAATATGGATAAAATTGTTTGTATTACAGACAATTTGATCCATATTACAGACATGCCCT